TTGATGGAGAATATCCAGGGACAGACAACGGACACGTTCGATACCATCGAGGAAGACTTTTTTTCTCTGACCAAGACCCTTATTTGGAGGAAAAGGGAGTAAAACAAAAGTAAGTAGGATAAAATAAACTCTGCCTTTTTCAGTACAACCATTAGAGGTTCGAAGTTTTTCCTGGAGACAAGTATAACGGGAGTTTGAACGACCATTACGTTGTCATTTGACCCTCACTAGCAAAGATGGACGTTTGTCCTCTCGAGTGCAATTAAGACACTATAAACGACAAAATAGCCCGAGTCCCGCGGTTTCACACAGCAAGGCTTAAAATAACGGAACTGACAGACTATAAGGGCAGAATTGTTTTAAACTATCAAATTTCAAAGTGGAGTGGCCAAATGGGGACGCCAAAGCAAATTCTTAACGAAACGGAAGTCACAGTAAGTGGAGCTAAGTAACAATAAAAACACGGGAATACACTAAACAGAACTAAATGAGGAATCGCTAAGACTCTTATCGTGCCTCGCAAAACCGATACAAAAGACTAGAAAAACAGGCACTTTAGGAGACTAACCCGTATGAGATCCTGTAACTTCGCAAAATTTGCGCAGCCGGTGAAGGAAGACGGGTCGGAAGAGCAATTGTATGTTGGCCTTAGACAGGAGTCGCGGTTGGGAGCGACATCAGTGTTGCCTGCAAAAGTAGCTGTAATTGGCCGATCTACTGGGGAACAGTTTGGGACGCCGGACTCCACTGGTCTACTTGTGTTGTTGTTTGGGGCGGCGGCGTTAGGGTCGGTGGGAGCGCGTAGAGGGGGATTGAGTGCTAACGTTGAGGCAGGTTGTATAAACGCCTCGTACAGCGCGTTAACACGCTCCAACCCTTCAAATTCGGATATCTTCTGTAAGGGTTTAACAAAAAGTTTATTATTCAACTACAGTGAAGCTTAGGAAAGCGACCAGCAGAAAATAAAGGCCTTAGGCTATCAAAGACACTGCAATCTTTATTCTCGTGTCCTTATTCAACGTTCCCCACGGTCTTTGTTTCCCGCAGCGTGTCCTTATTTACTCCCCTGTTCTTTGATCCCTGCCCCGTGTGATTATCCCCTTATAAAGTGGCAGCAACGTGTCTTCGTCATTCACACGACTGCTCGGATGTATGTACATCCTCCTTTTGATTTCTACCTCGTACTTTTACCTATCGTGCGCTGGTAATATTACTGTTTATTTCTGTAAAACCATACACACACACCACTGAGTTATCTCGACTGTCTTTCGACATAGCTTCTGACGTCAGGTGCGTCTATTCAGGTGACGAAACTAG